GTGCACAAAGACACATACATATACACCGTACACAAAGACACACACATATACACTGTATACAAAGACACACACATATACACCGTACACAAAGACACATACATATACACCGTACACAAAGATACACACATATACATCGTAAATAATTACATACATATACACCGTAACCGTACAAAGACAAACACATATACACCGCTACACAACTACACACACATATACACCTTACACAAAGGACACACACATATACACTGCACAACGACACTGTACATATACACCATGCACAAAGACAAATACAATATACACCGTACACAGAGACACACACATTATACACTGTATACAAAGACACACACATATGCACCATACACAAAGACATATCACATATACACCATACACAAAGACACACACATATACACAAAGACACGTACATATACACTGTACACAAAGACACATACATATACACCGTACACAAAGACACACACATATACACCGTACACAAATACACGTACGTAATACCGTACACAAACACACCCACATATACACCATACAAAAACACACCCACATATACACCGTACACAAAGACACACCACATATACACTGTACAACAAAGACCACACACCTAGTACAGCGTACACAAAGGACCACACACATATGCACCGTACCAAAGACACACACACTATACATCAGTACAACAATTACCTACATATACACGTTGTACACCGTACACAAGACACACAACATTCTACCACCGTACACAAAGACATCGTACATATACACCGTACACAAAGACACACACATATTTACAGTACACAAAGACCCACCACATATACATCGTAGCAAAGAAACATACAATATACACCGTACACCTGTACACACAAATACACACACGTATACCACCGGTACACAAAGAAATGTACACTATTACACCGTCACAAATACATCACACATATACACCATACAACAAAACACACCACATATACACTGTACACACAAATCACCGTACATATTACATCACAACAACGCCATTCGCCACTAAGTGGCAGTGACGTCACCAACAATGCTTGTGCCAGGCATGTGCACCCTGAGGCCACGTGAAGTGTCGAACGCCCGCTGGCAGGAGGTCACGGGGCTGACCCAGGTGCCACGGGTCGACTGACTGAGATGACTGGCTGATACACCACCTGTGCCCCCTACTGTGCCAACCTGCTGTGCTTCAGCCACTCGGCGCTACGCTCGTCGTTGTGAGATGTCGCTCCTCCGCCCTCCGTTGTTGGAGCGCGACTACCTCCAACTGCCTAGTAGCATCCTTCACGAGCCTCCTCCACAGAGGCCATTCTTTACACCGCTAGTACCAGTCATCGGCAAGCCCACTGAGCTCCACGTCCTCCTGTACCACATCCCTCCATCTCTTCTCTAGCCTGTGCCGCGCCCGTTTAGCCCCCTCAATCCGGCCGAACAAAAACTGTTTCGGCATGCGGTGGCTGGGCATGCGGGCTACATGACCCAGTCATCGCAGCCTTGCCCGCCGGAGGAGCTCACCGATGGGACCTTGCCCAGATCTTTCAAGGATTTGTGAGCTCCTCACACAATCCAGTCTGGTTAAACCCAGGATGGATCGTAGGCAGGCCAGCCTAAATGTTTCTAACCGGTGAAGATGTTCCATTAGGGGGGTCCACGTTTCGCTAGCATTGAGAAGGGAGGGAATGACCATGGCCGAGAAGACTTGAAGCTTAGTGCGGAGCGACGGACCAGGTAGCTTCCACACACCGTTACGCAACTGATGAAAAGATATTGCCGCTCGACTGATTCGGAGTGAGACCTCTGCTGTTAAACTGGAGCCGGTCATAAGCACACTGCCCAGGTATGGGAAACTCTCCACTCTCTCCACAACTGCCCCATCACCGATTGGGAGTTGTGGGGGTGGAGTGTCCAATGCTACAAAATACCCAGGCAGGTGCTTAGTTTTGGTGGGGCTGATGGTAAGGCCCCACCTCTTAGTGGCACGCTCCAGTCTCAGCAGCAGCATCTCCAACTCCTCCTGTGAATGAACAGCTATTAACAAATCATCAGCATACATAACGTGGTTGAGCAATAGGGAGCCATCCCTTGACCCCACCCGGGCATCGATCAGCCTCCCATTATATCTGTACCATATGGAGATTCCCACCGGTACAGCTATTGAAGGCTTCACGAACTAAGTGGTCAAAATAGATTTTAAATAATGTGGGAGCCAGAGGACATCCCTGTCGGACCCCAAGGTGTACAGGGAATGTCTCTGACTCCCGGTCACGTAGTTTTACCCGGGACCGCTCACCATCATGAAGGTCCTTAATCGTGAGCAGCGGGTCAGGTTCTCCAAAAGCACGAAGAACAACCCAGAGCCCAGGCCTACTGATGGTATCATAGGCCTTGTCCAGGTCAATAAAGCAGAGATGTAGGTCTTGTTGGAATTCCCTACACCTCTGCTGTAGCAGACGGACAGAAAATATGGCATCTGTGCAGGACCGCCCTTTCCTGAAACCGCATTGGGGCTCCGCAAGCCTCTCCTCAGCGTGCCTGGCAAGGCGATGTTGAATAATCCTTGACAGGACCTTTCCCGGCACACTGAGGACTGAGATGCCCCTGTAGTTGTTACAGTCTGTGCGGTCCCCCTTCTTAAAAAGGGGGACCACCAGGGCATCCTTCCAATCCTGCGGAACCCGTCCAGTGGTCCAGACTGTTGTTATGATGTCATATAGGGCAGTCTGTGCACAAACGCCACCCTCCCTAGCATTTCGCTTGGGAGATCATCTCTGCCCGCTGCCTTTCCTGGTCTCAGACTCCGGATCGCCTTCAGTACTTCCTCAACAGATGGCACCTCAGCCAGCCACTCACAGGGGGTAACTTCTTCCAATATTTGAGGCACCGCAGCCTCAGCAGGGTCATCCTCACTTTGTTGCCACGATGTTTTCCTGGCTGAGGGATTTTCCTCCCCCAGGACCTCACAGAAATGCCTCAGCAAATCTGCAAACCTGTTGCTGGGGGTCGGAGATTGGATCGCCGTTTTTTCCCCTAATGATGGTAATAGGTGTGGCGCTGCAGATTACTTTTTTGATGGAGTTAAATAAAGATATGTGATCACGGGCCACTGAGGCAGACTCCATCTCCTCAGCAACCCGCGACCACCACCCATCCTTGCAGTGCCTCACGGCTCTCCGAACCTCCGAGCGAAGGCTGCGGTAAGCCTCCTCATTCTCTGACGTGGGATTCTGTAGCCGATGACAGTGGGCCTGCCGCTTTTTCTCAACCATCCTGAACACCTCCTCTGTCAGCCAGGGTCTCTGGGGAGGTCTGGACCGTGTACCCAAAGCAGCCATTGCAGCTGCATGAGTCACAGTCCTAAACCTCGCCCATTTACCCTCGACATCAGGAGGAGTCGGGGACGATGCCAATCCCAGCCGCAAGCGATGATGAAATTCTTGTTTGCAACTTTCATCAGATAACTGAGACCAGGCCACTTTAGGTTGGGATGGGGTCCTGGGTGTACACCCACCACCGGAGTGGAAGAATGGCAGGCGCATCTTACAAATGACTAGTCGATGTTCAGAGGGCAGATCAGCTACACAGTAGGTCCTGGTGTCAAGGACATAGGCTCGCATCCGCTGATCCGTCACTATGTAGTCCAGCAGATGTACTTGCTTGGACCCGGCATGTATCCATGATGTTGTGTGGATGCGCCGATGCCGGAACAGCGTGTTGGTAATTACAAGCCCATGGGCTGCACAAAAATATAGCAGCCTCCTACTGTTGTTTTTGAGCTGATCTGGCCCATGCCCTCCAATCACTCCAGACCAGGTGCCAGCATCATGACCAACTCGTACACAAAGACACACACATATACACCGTACACAAAGACACGTACACCATACACAAAGACACACACATATACACCGTACACAAAGACACGTACATATACACCGTACACAAAGACACACACATATACACCGTACACAAAGTCACATACATATACACCGTACACAAAGACACATACATATACACCGTACACAAAGACACATACACCATACACAAAGACACACACATATACCGTACACAAAGACACACACATATACACCGTACACAAAGACACACACATATACACCGTACACAAAGACACATACATATACACCGTACACAAAGACACACACATATACACCGTACACAAAGACACACACATACACACTGTACACAAAGACACACACATATACACCGTACACAAAGACACACACATATACACCGTACACAAAGACACACACATATATACCGGTACACAAAGACACATACATATACACCGTACACAAAGCACCCAACAGGGAGGGCACATAATATACAACGTACACGAAGACACACACATATACACCGTACACAAAGACACACACATACACCGTACACAAAGACACGTACACATACACAAGCACACACACATATACACCGTACACAAAGACACACACATATACAACGTACACAAAGACTGATAGCGATGGCACTGATGGTCATGGCATTGATTATGTTGCTGATGATGGTGTCGTTAATGATGATGTTGCTGATGATGGCTACGATGGCTACGATGGCGACGATGGCAATGATGGTGATGAGACTGATAGCGATGGCACTGATGGTCATGGCATTGATTATGTTGCTGATGATGGTGTCGCTGATGATGATGATGTTGCTGATGATGATGATGGCGGTGTTGATGATGGTGCTGATGGTGATGTCACGAGTGGCGATGATGATAATGTCGCTGATGATGGCGGTGTTGATGATGGCACTGATGATGATGTTGCTGTTGATGATGGCGGTGTTGATGATGGCACTGATGGTGATGTCGCTGATGGTGATGTCGCTGATGATGATGTTGCTGATGATGATGGCAGTGGTGATGATGGCACCGATGGTGATGTCGCTGATGATGATGGCGGTGTTGATGATGGCACTGATGGTGATGTCGCTGATGATGCTGCTATCAGACAGGGTTGCTCGAGAATTCTCTGAGGAGGCACGGAGCGAAGGGAACGCGGCCGGGAAAACATCACTATCAGCAGCATCATCAGCAGCAGAAGCACGCTCAGCCTCAGGGAGACGAGCCCGCAGGGTTCCCGCTACTCTTCAGCCTCCCGGACTTCTCCCAAGCCGACTTCAACCAACCCAACCCCAACATCCAGGTGAGCCCGACCCCAACATCCAGGTGAGCTCGACCCCACCATCCAGGTGAGCCCGACTCTACCATCCAGGTGAGCCCAACTGCCCTGAGGGAGAGCCGTGCTCTCTCCACTGCTGCCCTGAGGCAGGGTCGTGCCCCGTCCACTGCTGCCCGGAGGGAGCCCCGTGCTCTCCACTACTGGCTTGAGGGAGAGCCGCGCTATCTCCACCGCTGCCGTGAGGGAGCCAGACTCTCTCCTCTGCTGCCCTGAGGCAAAGTTGTACTCCGTCCACTGCTGCCCTGAGGGAGTGCCGTGCTCTGTCCACTGCTGCCCTGAGAGAGAGTCGTGCTCTCTCCACTGCTGCTGCCCCGAGATGTCGCGGGCGCTGCCCCAGAGCAAGGAGGCGCTGCTGCAGTCGTTCAACAAGCGGCTCAAGGATGACGTGTGCTCCATCCTGGACAACTTCACCGAGATCGTCAAGACGGCCAAGGGTCGTGAATGAAGAGTCTCCTGTGTAGGCTTCCGTGGGGACATCTGGTCGGGCAGCAGAGACACAAGAGGCCAGGAAACGACATTCCAGTCGTGGGCTGAGCTCAAGGAGGGCTAGCTTGAACACCATCCTGCGGCGGGGAAAGGAGGCGGTGCAAGTGGTTCAGTCGAGCCTACAACAGCCAAGAATTTGCTGTCGGGGGGGGGGGGGGTGTGGGGGGCGGTGTTCAACCCTAGTACATGGGCGAGAAGCCGTGCATGTGTGATGAGTGCGGCAAGACGTTTTTCTCGCGCTCAGGCCTACAAGTATATATATTTTCTATTCCACTTGTGTGGTAAATCTGTGTATACCCGGATATTTTAAAGATGGCAATTCTCCTGCTGTGTATCATACTGCTGTTCCTCCCGGCCATATCTAGTGCCACACTCAACTCTACAAACGGCTACCCTCGTTATTTTTCGTTAATACTTGTTGCTCAATTTGCCACTACACCTGCAAATGAAACAGCTCATAGACACTTATACACTCCATCATTGTATCCTTTTAAACCCTATCTTTCTCCCATTACTTCACCAGCACTCCTTCCAAACTTCATTGAGCTCTTAAAAATATCACCATCTGCAAGCTGCTGCTATTCGTCCAAGGTTCGCCGCTCTTCATCCTTTCACAGAAAATACTTATGCAAACTGTTAATTCTACTTTTCTTATTTCTGGGTGGTATTGAGCTTCATCCTGGCCCAAATGAAAATAACTCGTATAATTCTGTAGGAAAGGTGTTGGTGTTCGACATGTCAACATCAGAGGGCTTGTGATTAAATTAAGTCAACTAAAACTAGAAGTGGCAAATCTTGACCCGGACATTTTTTTGCCTAACAGAAACATTTCTCACTCCTGCCGTCAATGACTTGCAGATTACGATTGAAAACTACAACCTTTTTCGGCTTGACCGAGAATCTAAAGGAGGTGGAATTGCCATCTATGTTCGTAATACTATTGCATGTTCACCAGCTCACTCCTTGTTTAAAAATGTTGCTTTGAAGGTTTGGCTCTCAGAATAACTCTCCCAATTAATCAACAGATATTGGTAATGTGCTGCTACAGACCGCCTTGTGGGAAGGATGTTGAAGCTGCATCGGCACTGAGAGAGCTTTTTGGGGGCCTCCCTAAAGGTGAAATAGTTTTAGTGGGTGATCTAAATTGGAATTGGCTAAATCTGCCGGCCGTGGCCACAAATTTTACAGGTGAATTTAACCTGTTTCAATTCATAAATGTCCCCACAAGACCCAACCTAAAAAATCCGGGACAGTCATCTCTGCTTGACGTCCTATTGACAAATGCCCCTCACAATTTCACACTGACTGGTGTTCTGGGTAATAACCTTAGTGATCACTCCTTGATTTTTGGGGTGAGATCATCAGCCAGACCCAAAGCCCCCCATAAAATTGTTGAGAAGCACTCTTTGAGGCACTTCAGCACTCAGGCATTTACAAATGATGTGCTTCACTCGGATATTGATAAGGTCTGTGATATCCCCAACCTGACTACGGCTTTCAGGTACACGTTTCTCCAAATTCTTAACAAACATGCTCCGTTGGTTAGATTTAAAACTAAAGACAACCACCCACCATGGTATGATCCTTTGATTACAAAGCTCATGAAAACTAGGGATAAGGCTTGGGGATGTGCTCAGAAAACTAATTTGGTAAATGACTGGCTAGAATACAGGATTTTAAGGAATAGATGCGTAAAAAAATATGGCATGCAAAAAATGCCTACTTTTCCTCCACTCTCCTGGAATCACATGAAAATGCCAGGATTTTTTTTTGAAAACAATCAAATCTATCGAAAAGGCATCCAAAACAGACAATCTGCCCGTTGAGCTTAACCGAAATGGGGAATATTTTTCAGATCCCAAAAAAATAGTTGACAATTTTAACGTTCATTTTTCTGAAGCTGGTGATCTTTTTGATAATGTATTGGGAGTCACCCCTGCTCATGCAAATTCCTACAACCCTGTCCAAACATTGAACGAATTTAGTTTCCAGCCAATCCACGAAAGTAATGTTCTGAAACAACTGTTCTACCTCAAAGGGTCCTCCTCTACCAGAGCAGATAGTTTCCCTTCTTTCCTCTACTAACTGTTGGTCACCTAATATACAAACCTATAGCCCATATACTCTTTGGTTCTATTGGGTAAAGTCACGTAGGTGAAAATAAAATAACAAAAAATCACGACGTTTTGGCCACAACACAAGCGGCCTTCATCAGGTGAAGGGACGAGACTGTCTGGAGGACAGCGCTGGAGTGAGAAAAGCCACGCTTAAATCACGACCTTTAAGCTGTGGGAGAAGAAAACAAAGCGCCTTGACAAAGGAATTAGCATATAATTTAGCATTGAAATGGCTCATTGAAATAGCTAAGTGAAAGTATACACATCCGCAGAGGCACCCCTTGACAAAGGAATTAGCATAGAATTTAGCATTGAAATAGCTGAGTGATTAGCTTGTAACTGGTCACAGAAATAGCTATGTTAAAGTCAGAGCATATACATTCACCGAGGCACCTAGTACAAATCAAACAGGAGAATTTAGCGAAACACAACCACGCTCAGACAGCGGACCTTTAAACTGTGTGCGAGCAAACAAGCCCATATTTTCAACCTGTCCATCAAAGAAGCATCAGTTCCTCTAGAATGGAAACATTCCTATGTCCGTCCACTTCACAAAGGGGGCCCTAAAGATGATCCCAATAATACCGACCTATCTCAATTTTGTCCCCATTGATGAAAATTTTTGAAAAATTATTGAACTACCAAATTAGCAGTTTCCTGTTCATCAACAATCTACTACATCCAAAACAATCTGGGTTCCGAAAAAAAATACAGCACCACATCTGCTGCATTAGACTCTCTGAATCAAATTTACAGTAGCCTTGATAATAAGCAGTACTGTGCCTGTCTTTTTCTTGACCTGTCCAAAGCTTTTGGTACAGTAGACCACAACACCCTGCTTAGTAAACTAAGTTGCCTCGGTTTTTCCGAAAACACAGTACAATGGTTAAAAAAGTTACCTCTTTTCTCGCACCCAAACTGTATTCACAGATGGTTGGAGGTCAAACAGTGTTAAGATAACAAAAGGGGTTCTCCACAGGGTTCCATCCTTGGCCCCATCCTCGGCGCCCTCTTGTTCTCTCTTTATGTCAATGACTTGGGCACTGACCTGGATCATTCCAGGGTAAATCTTTTTGCAGATGACACGATACTGATTACTGCTGGCCACTCTCCGGATGACGTGATTGCTAAGCTCCAGGGTGATTTCAACAAACTACAACATCAGCTAGTTTCTCTTAAACTAGTCCTGAATACCTCCAAAACCAAGGTGCTATGCTTCTCACCGGGACTAAAGCAGGAAGTTGTTTTTCCCCAATTACATTCCTTGAATAATTATCAAATAGAGCAAGTCAAGATCTATAGGTATCTTGGGGCCATCCTGGATTCAAAACTGAATTTTGAAGATCACATTGATTATATTGGTAAAAAGACAAAAATAAAATTGGTTTTCTGTATCGACACAAGCACTGTTTCCCCCCAATGTTCCGTTTGGAATTGATAAAAGCTACCATACTGCCTCTACTTGACTACTGTGACATCGTGTATAAATCAGCCCCAAGTACTGTAATGAAGAAATTTGATTCCATCTATCACTCGGCCATAAGATTTGCATTGAACTGCCCATATAGGACTCACCACTGTGATCTCTACATTGGGTCAAACTTAACATCTCTTAATGTTCGACGGCTTGTGCACCAAATCTTATTTATTCACGATGTACTTACAAAAAAATGCGCAGACTACCTACTGGATCTCCTCTGTTTCAAAGAACAAATTTGACCTCAGGTCTTCGCTCATTTATCAGCTTTACATTCCCTATTGCCATACAAAAACCGGAGGAAGGGCCTTTGCTATTGATGCCCCCAGGGTCTGGAATGCTATTGCCAATAAACTGCAACTTGAATCACTATGAGATCTTCACTCAAAACTGCTCTAGAGGAGTTGTACACCCATAGCTGCCACTGCTATTCAGTGGCCTAAAATATGGCTCTAGGGTTTAGTGTTATAATTTATTTATGTAGTTTATTGTTAACAATTCGGTCACAGTCCCTATGATCACTGTTACATTGCATTTATGGCTTTTATTTTGGTGATTTAGCAAAAGTTTTTTTGGTTTGGCCATGTTTTTGTTTATTGTAGTACGGAGTTAGATTTATGGCCTAAACCTTAGTTGTCTTCTTTGGTTCTTTCGGTAAAGTCACGTCGAATGAGAATAAAATAATTAAATAAAACAATTAATACTCGTTGGTTCTATTCAGTAAAGTCACGTAGGTAAAAAATAAAACAACAAAAATCACGACGTTTCGGCCACAACACAAGCGGCCTTCATCAGGTGAAGGGATCAGGCTGTCTCGAGGACAGCGCTGGAGTGGAAACACAGCCACGCCTCAGACCGCGACCTTTAAGCTGTGTGCGAGGAAACAAGGTGCCTTGACAAAGGAATTAGCATAAAAAATAGCATTTGATTGGCCTGACTTAGCATAGAGGTTGGTGTACATGCGGGTGCACATGCCGGTTGGCGTGGGGGGGGGGGAGGAGGGGGAGTTTATCTATTGATGGTGTGAAAGGGGAATTTAAGAGCTGCGAAAGTTTGGGGTACCACTATTTGAAAAATATACTGTACCATTGAAAATTAGTTTAATGTTTGGTTCGATTTAGAACATCTTTCCAATGGTTGCTTAATTTGAAACCATCTTCTCGGTTGAAATTGTGTCTGCGCTTGTAGATCTGAATTGCCTCGTGAACAAATCTCTGATAAAAGCCCGTGGATTTGCAAAGAACCTTGGTATCGGAGAAAATTATATCGTGATCCCCCACAGCGTTGTAACAGTGATCAGCTACGGCAGAAGAATTCGTTTTGCCGTGTTTCAAATCTGATTTGTGCTCGCGAATTCGGTCAGAGACATGTCGCTTTGTCTCCCCGATATAGCAATCACCGCAGGTACAACTGAATTTGTAAACCCCGGGGTACTGTAAGTCAGGAATGACATCCTTAACGGATGGGATCAGATCACGAATTTTGTGTACTGTATTGAACCTGACCTGGATCTTGTGTTTGTTTAGAATTTTGGAAATCCTTTTAGTAACGCCTGCTATATATGGTAGTGTGATGGTTTTTGACCGGAGTATCAAGTGGTTGTTTCTGTATGGAGGGAGAAACAGCTTGGCGGATGGTACGGTCAGAGTATCCATTCCTTTTGAGGGTCAGGTGTACATGTTTTAATTCACTGGTCAGGTGGTGTTGGTCCGAAATGCAATGAGCCGTATGGTATAAAGTTTTGATGAGAGAATTCTTCTGGGCTGGGTGGTGGTGGGAATCAGGCTTCAAGTAGGAATCCGTGTGGGTGGGTTTCCTGTAGACAGAATGCCCCAATGAGCCATCAGGTCTCCTCTCAAACAGAACATCCAAGAATGGTAGCTTGCCATCTTTCTCCACCTCCATGGTGAATTTGATGGCAGGATGTCTGGAATTGATGTGGTGTAGGAAAAGGTTCAGAGCTGGGAGGCCATGTGGCCAAATGACGAAAGTGTCATCCACATATCTCTTCCACAGGGAAGGTCTGAGGGTGGAAGTCTGGATGGCGTGTGATTCAAATTTCTCCATGAAAATATTGGCTATCACTGGTGACAAGGGGGATCCCATGGGGGTACCCTCATTTTGTTTGTAGAAGGAGCCATTCCAAGTAAAGTAGGTATTGTTGAGGCAGTGCCTAACCAGTGCAGGTGTATCGGGGTCTAGTCCATGTTGGACCAAATTTTCAATTATTTCAATGGTATTAGGCACTGGGACCTTGGTGAACAAAGAGACCACATCGAAGCTGACAAGGATATCGTCAGGGGACAGTACAACGTCTTTGACCATAGAGACCAATTGGGCTAAGTTAAGTACTGCTGAGGCGGTCTTGCCATTGAAAGGCAGCAAGGTATCTGACAGAAAACGGGCCAGTCTATAGGTAGGGGAGTTGATCGTGGATACGATGGGTCGTAGTGGGGTGCCTTCTTTATGAATCTTGGGAAGACCATAGAATCTAGGGGGTCTTGCAGCAGAAGGTTTTAGGGAGGGACATTTAGTTGGGTCGATTAGGGAGGTCGAACTTGTGATGATCTTGTTGGTTTTTATTGCTAGGATATTGGTAGGGTCATTTTTAATTTGAGTAACTTTCATCGTTGAGCAGATTCTGGATTTTGTTGTATGAATCTTTATCCATAATTACAGTAGTGTTGCCTTTATCGGCTGAGAGGATGACTATATCACTTCTGTTTTTTAAATTCGCGAGTTCAGAGCGTTCATTTTTGCTGATGTTACTAATGGCTTTCTTAGCATTCTTAAGAATAGTGGCTATTTCAGCTCTCGCAACGTCTGCTTGGATGTGTCCCACGCCTTTGAAGGCTACATCGACCTGAGAGATGATATCATCTACTGGTATGTGTTTTGGGGTGACAGCTAAATTCAGTCCCCTAGCCAGTACTGTTTTTAGATTGTCCGAAATCGGGGTGCTACTCTGATTAATGACGATTTTGTTAACGTCTAGTTTTGTTATATGTGGAACTGGGTTCTTCTTTGATAGGTGGTTGAATTTAGAAATCAGGTTAGCTTTACATTTGACTGAAAGTGAATCAGCAGAAGAAGCAGTCATGTTGTCTACGTGATTCCAATCAGAAGGTGACATTTTTTGTGTTAACATTAAATGAGCTTGTAGGAGAGTCCTGTCTAAAGTGTCGAGTTCAAATCGGAGTAGCCTTATCCTCTCTGAGATTAAAGATAGGCTGGCCTTAAACAGAATCTGTTTAGAATTCGGAGAAGATACAGCAGCAGAAGTGAGTGTGAAAGCGATGGGTATTACCTTGTGATCGCGACATCTTTTGAGGAATGTCAGCGTCTCGATGAGCTGTGACTTCTTGTCCCGTTGTCTGTTAAAAGCTCTAACAGATAGGTGAAAGCCCTCTCCGTAGAGGTTATCAATTCTAGATTTAAAGCTTTTGTGACTGCAAGGACCCATACTCTTTGGTTCTATTCGGTAAAGTCACGTAGGTAAAAAATAAAACAACAAAAATCACGACGTTTCGGCCACAACACAAGCGGCCTTCATCAGGTGAAGGGATCAGGCTGTCTCGAGGACAGCGCTGGAGTGAACACAGCCATGCTCAGACCGCGACCTTTAAGCTGTGTGCGAGGAAACAAAGTGCCTTGACAAAGGAATTAGCATAAAAATTAGCATTTGATTGGGCCGACTTAGCATAGAGGTGGTGTACATGCGGGTGCACATGCCGGTTGGCGCGGGGGGGGGGGAAGGAGGGGGAGTTTCCCTATTGATGGTGTGAAAAGGGAATTTAAGAGCTGCGAAAGTTTGGGGTACCACTATTTGAAAAATATAAAGTACCATTGAAAATTAGTTTAATGTTTGGTTCGATTTAGAACATCTTTCCAATGGTTGCTTAATTTGAAACCATCTTCTCGGTTGAAATTGTGTCTGTGCTTGTAGATCTGAATTGCCTCGTGAACAAATCTCTGATAAAAACCCATGGGTTTGCAAAGAACCTTGGTATCGGAGAAAATTATATCGTGATCACCCACAGCGTTGTAACAATGATCAGCTACGTGACTTTACCGAATAGAACCAATGAGTATGGATCCTTGCAGTCACGAAAGCTTTAAATCTAGAATTAAAACAATTAAATTATCATGACGTTTCGGCCACAACACAAGTGGCCTTCTTCAGGTGAAAGGAACAAACCTGTCAGGACGACAGGTGAGCCCGACCCCACCATCCAGGTGAGCCCAACCCCACCATCCAGGTGATACTGACCCCAACATCCAGGTGAGCCCGAACCCCACCATCCAGGTGAGCCCGACCCCACCATCCAGGTCAGCTCTACCCCAACATCCAGGTGAGTTCGACCCCACCATCCAGGTGAGCCCAACCCCACCATCCAGGTGAGCCCAACCCCACCATCCAGGTGAGCCCAACCCCACCATCCAGGTGAGCCCAACCCCAACATCCAGGTGAGCTCTACCCCAGCATCAGCACCAGGGGTCGCCTCACCCCCGCGTGGTCGCAGACTTTGCCTGTTTCAGGAGCTCAGCGGAGTTTGGTTTACTGCATGACGGTTTGGGGGGCAGACCTTCATCCAGCAGTGGAAGATGCTGCTCCTGCCACTGCTGCTGTTACTGCTGCTTCTGTTACTGTCGCTGCTGCTGCTGATTCGGATGCCCCCCCCCTCACGTGACCATCGACCTTTGACTCCCCCCCCCCACCCCCTCCCCATCCACCCCCAGGTGACCATTGAGGTGGTGAGCAGCCCCGAGATGGAGCTGGACCTGGTGACCGGGGCCGGCCGCCTCGATTGGCCGGAGCCGCGCGGCGACGCCGCGGCTGCCCAGCTGGCGCCCCGCTGGCTCCTCCAACTGTGGCAGAGGTCGCTCGAGGGGTCAAAGGGCGCCAAGGCCGGCGGGCAATCGGATTACAGCTACTACGAAGAGGAGGATGGCGAGGATGATGATGATAATGTGGGGTACGGGGACGGTGCGGACGATGGGGCCTTTTTTGGGTCACGCAGACGAGGCCAGCAGATGGTGAGCATCGGGGAGGAGGAGGGGACTACTCACGAAGACGACGACGGTGATGATTATGGTGAGTGCGTGCGTCTGTGCATGCGTCTGTGCATGCGTGTGTGTGTGGTGGGAGCAATGGCGCAGCGGTTAGGATGCCACGCTACGAATCTGGCGACCCAAGTTTTATTCCCCGCTCGCGACTACCAACACCAGTGATGATGATCTGAAATGGTCCTGGGCCTCCCCTAGGTCGACTCAGCTTCAAATGAATACCCGGTACAGTGTATAAACATCGCCATTCGGTAGGCAAAGGCGGTCGGGCGTGGTGCGGGCCACCCACCCCCTGCATATGCCGCGCTGGCTTTGATAGGCACAACTCGCTAACAGTACTTGTCCCAATGGTCTGTGTGGGCTACACGGGGGATCTTTGTCTTTCTAGGGGGGCGGCCCGGGCTGCTCGGCCAGCAAGACGCAGGCCTGCCCCTGTAGCACCACAATGCCAAAGATAAAGATCCCCCGTATAGCCTCAACATATTGTTGGAGCAAGTGCTGTTATTGAGCACCTATGAAGGTTGGCACTGAACGCGAGGAGGTGGGTGGCCATCAACTACGCCCGGCCGCCTTTGTCTGCCTAGTGGCGATGTTTACACATCGCACCACCAGGTACTGATTTGAGTCGATATAGGGGAGGCCCAGAACCGGTTCAGATAATCGTCACCGGTGTTGGCCGTGAGTGGAAATCGAACTCGAGTCGCCGGGTTCATAGCGCAGCGCGAAAGCCGTTGCACCACAACAACAACGACAGTGGTTAGAACGGTGGGTGGTGGTGGTGCTGTGGTGTGGTGCTGCTGGTGTGTGAGTGACCGCGTGCTGTGTTGCAGGAGACGCAACGTCACCTCCACCAATCACGGAGACACGGCTCAACAACACCGGTGGGGCCACGCACGCAATGCCAACACCACCCCCATCACTTGCCCCATCACTAGCCCCTATCACTACCTCCATCACTACCCTGATCAACCCAATATCACTAATCCCCATCACCGCCGCCAACACCACCCCCATCACCATTCCGAACACTGCCGCTTTCACCACCCTGATCACCACCAACTAACACCACCCCCAACACCACCCCCCATCACTTCCGCCATCACTACTGCTGCCGGTAATACTACGGGTGGCGGCGGTGGTGGCGGCGGTGGTGCCGTTGTCTCCGCAGGGGCTGACAGCTGTGAGCGGTGGGCGCGATGCGAGCGCGGCACGGCTCTGCGCCCGTACGTGCGCCGCGTGCTCGCCGAGCTGCCCTCCTGCCCCTGCGTCTACCCCCGGCAGGTCGCCTACGGCAGCGCCCTCATCCCAGAGCCCCCCGAGTCGGGGGCAGCAGCGGCAGGGGGAGCACTGGGGGCAGCTGAATCTTTGGATTCATTATCACGGTCGCAATCGCCGCCGCCCTCCTCCTCGTCCTCCTCGTCCTCGTCCCCGCCACGCCGCGCTCGCTCCGTGCGCTGGCGCGACGCGAGCGGCCCTCACGAGCGCCTGGACGTCTACAAGCCCTCGGCACGCTACTGCATCCGCTCCGTCCCGCACACGCAGCCCGCTCCCTCGTCCTCCTCCTCGTCGTCACCGAGGCACCGCCGCCGCCCGGCTCCCACCCACGCTCCTCCTCCTCCTCTTCCGCCGTCGTCGCCGCTGCTGGCGGCTCAGCAGTGCTGCTACGACGCGGCGATGCGCCTCGTGACTCGGGGGCCCGGCGCGGGCACGCCCAGCCTGGTGAGCGCCGACCTCTCCCCCGAGCTGCACCGCCGCCTCGACGTGGGGCCGTGGCTGGCGTGCCGCGGGGACTGGAGCCGCTACAACGCCGCGCGACCACCCAACAACCGCCGCGGCTGCGCCGAGAGCCCCCGGGACGCCGACTTCGACCGCCTCCTCGGGCAGGCCGCGGACTTCTGACTCTGCTCGTGCGTGGGTGGGGGAGATGGAATTTATACTGGAGGAGGAATCCGATGAACTGTGAAGCTCTTTTTCACGGATGTTGGGTAAAGGGTGGGGGGGTGGGTTGGATCACGGGAGTGTTTTGAAGGGTGTATGTGAGAGAGTGTGAGTGAGCGGTAGTGTAGCGGTTAGCGCGCTGCGCTATGAACCTGGTGACCCAGGTTCGATTCCCGCTCACGGCCAACACCAGTGACGATTATCTGAACCGGTCCTGGGCCTCCCCTAGGTCGACTCAGCCTCAAATGAGTACCTGGTGCGGTGTGTAAACATTGCCACTAGGGAGACAAAGGCGGTCCGGCGTGGTGCTGGCCACCCACCCCCTCGTGTACCGTTCCGGCCTTCATAGGTGCTCGCTAACAGCACTTGCCCCTACAGTCTGTTAAGGCTATATGGGGGATCTTTGTTTTTTGATCTTTGTGTATGAGAGAGCGTGAGTGTATGTGTGAGAGTGTGTGAGAGTGTGAGAAAGAGTGTGTGTGAGTCCCATCGGTGAGCTCCTCCGGCAGGCAAGGCAGCGTTGGCTGGGTCATGTAGCCAGCATGCCCACCGCATGCCCCAAGCAGCTTCTGTTTGGCCGCATAGGGGGGATAAACGGGCACGACACGGGCTAGAGAAGAGATGGAGTGATGTGGTAGAGGAGGACGTGGAGCTGAGTGGACTTGCCGATGACTGGTACCATCGGTGTCAAGATCGGCCTCTATATAGAAGCCTCGTGAAGGACGCTTCTGGGCAGTTGGAGACAGTCGCCCTCCAGCAACAATGGAGGGCAGAGGAGGGACGCTCACACCAACGAGTGGAGCATTGGGTGGCTAAAATACAGCAAGTTGGCACAGTAGGGGACACAGCTGGTGCATCTGCCAGTCATCTCAGTCAACCTATGGCACCTGGGTCTGTCACGTGACCTGTCAGCGAGCTTTCTATGCTTCACGTGGCCTCAAAGTGCACCTGGCCTGGCACAGGCGCTGTGGTGACATCACTGTCACTTCATGGCGAATTGGAGGTATTGGTGAGAAAGTGAGAGTGTGTGAAAGAGTGTGAGTGAGAGTGTGTGAGAGAGTGTGTGAGAGTGTGAGAGAGTGTGTGAGAGAGAGTGTGAAGTGGGGAGTGGTGGTGTAGCGGTTAGTGCGCTTCGCTAAAAACTCAGCAACCCGAGTTCGATTCCCGCTCACGGCCACGAACACCAGTGACGATTATCTAAACCGATCTTGGGCATCGCCTAGGTCGACTCAGCCTCAAATGAGTACCTGGTGTGATGTGTTAACATCGCCACTGGGGAGATAAAGGCGGCCGGGCTTGGTGCTGGCCACCCATCCCCTCGGGTACCGATCCAGCCTTCAAAGGTGCTTGCTCACAGCGCTTGCCCCAACAGTCTGTTAAGCCTAAACGGGGGATCTTTGTCTTTGTGTAAATGCTGACATGTGAATGAATGTTTGATATCCGTGTCTCAGTGTCTTTGTCCGAGTGTCCGTGACCCTGTCTCCTCTGTCTGTGCCTGTCTGTGTGTGATTCCTAAGTCTGTGTGTGATTCAGGGTCTCTCTCTCTGTGCTTCATAAGTCTGTGTGTGATTCAGTGTCTCTCTCTCTGTGATTCCTAAGTCTGTGTGTGATTCAGTGTCTCTCTCTCTGTGCTTCCGAAGTCTTTGTGTGATTCAGTGTCTCTCTCTCTGTGCTTCCGAAGTCTGTGTGTGATTCAGGGTCTCTCTCTCTGTGCTTCCGAAGTCTGTGTGTGATTCAGGGTCTCTCTCTCTGTGCTTCCTAAGTCTGTGTGTGATTCAGTGTCTCTCTCTGTGATTCCTAAGTCTCTGTGTGATTCAGTGTCTCTCTCTCTCTGTGCTTCCAAAATCTGTGTGTGATTCAGTGTCTCTCTCTCCGTGATTCCTAAGTCTGTGTGTGATTCATGGTCTCTCGCTCTGTGATTCCTAAGTCTGTGTGTGATTCAGTGTCTCTCTCTCTCTCTGTGATTCCTAAGTCTGTGTGTAATTCAGTGTCTCTCTCTCTCTCTGTGCTTCCTAAGTCTGTGTGTGATTCAGTGTCTCTCTCTCTCTGTTATTCCTAAGTCTGTGTGTGATTCAGTGTCTCTCTCTCTCTCTGTGATTCCTAAGTCTATGTGTGATTCAGTGTCTCTCTCTCTCTCTGTGATTCCTAAGTCTGTGTGTGATTCAGTGTCTCTCTCTGTGATTCCTAAGTCTGTGTGTGATTCAGGGTCTCTCTCTCTCTCTGTGCTTCCTAAGTCTGTGTGTGATTCAGTGTCTCTCTCTCTCTCTGTGCTTCCTAAGTCTGTGTGTGATTCAGTGTCTCTCTCTCTCTGTGCTTCCTAAGTCTGTGTGTGATTCAGGATCTCTCTCTCTCTCTCTGTGATTCCTAAGTCTGTGTGTGATTCAGTGTCTCTCTCTCTCTGTGATTCCTAAGTCTGTGTGTGATTCAGTATCTCGCTCTCTGTGATTCCTAAGTCTGTGTGTCATTCAGTGTCTCTCTCCATCTGTGATTCCTAAGTCTGTGTATCATTCAGGGTCTCTCTCTCTGTGATTCCTAAGTCTGTGTGTGATTCAGTGTCTCTCTCTCTCTCTGTGATTCCTAAGTCTGTGTGTGATTCAGTGTCTCTCTCTCTCTCTGTGCTTCCTAAGTCTGTGTGTGATTCAGTGTCTCTCTCTCTCTGTTATTCCTAAGTCTGTGTGTGATTCAGTGTCTCTCTCTCTCTCTGTGATTCCTAAGTCTATGTGTGATTCAGTGTCTCTCTCTCTCTCTCTGTGATTCCTAAGTCTGTGTGTGATTCAGTGTCTCTCTCTGTGATTCCTAAGTCTGTGTGTGATTCAGGGTCTCTCTCTCTCTCTGTGCTTCCTAAGTCTGTGTGTGATTCAGTGTCTCTCTCTCTCTGTGCTTCCTAAGTCTGTGTGTGATTCAGTGTCTCTCTCTCTCTGTGCTTCCTAAGTCTGTGTGTGATTCAGGATCTCTCTCTCTCTCTGTGATTCCTAAGTCTGTGTGTGATTCAGTGTCTCTCTCTCTCTCTCTGTGATTCCTAAGTCTGTGTGTGATTCAGTATCTCGCTCTCTGTGATTCCTAAGTCTGTGTGTCATTCAGTGTCTCTCTCCATCTGTGATTCCTAAGTCTGTGTATCATTCAGGGTCTCTCTCTCTGTGATTCCTAAGTCTGTGTGTGATTCAGTGTCTCTCTCTCTCTCTCTCTGTGATTCCTAAGTCTGTGTGTGATTCAGGGTCTCTCTCTCTGTGCTTGCTAAGTCTGTGTGTGATTCAGTGTCTCTCTCTCTCTGTGATTCCTAAGTCTGTGTGATTCAGTCTCTCTCTCTCTCTCCCTGTGATTCCTAAGTCTGTGTGTGATTTAGTGTCTCTCTCTCTCTGTGATTCCTAAGTCTGTGTGTGATTCAGTGTCTCTCTCTCTGTGCTTCCTAAGTCTGTGTGTGATTCAGTGTCTCTCTCTCTCTGATTCCTAAGTCTGTGTGATTCAGTGTCTCTCTCTCTCTCCCTGTGATTCCTAAGTCTGTGTGTGATTCAGTGTCTCTCTCTCTGTGATTCCTAAGTCTGTGTGTGATTCAGTGTCTCTCTCTCTGTGCTTCCTAAGTCTGTGTGTGATTCAGTGTCTCTCTCTCTGTGATTCCTAAGTATGTGTGATTCAGTGTCTCTCTCTCTCTCTCTCTGTGATTCCTAAGTCTGTGTGTGATTCATTGTCTCTCTGTGTGCTTCCTAAGTCTGTGTGTGATTCAGTGTCTCTCCCTCTGTGCTTCCTAAGTCTGTGTGTGATTCAGGATCTCTCTCTCTCTGTGATTCCTAAGTCTGTGTGTGATTCAGTGTCTCTCTCTCTGTGATTCCTAAGTCTGTGTGTGATTCATTGTCTCTCTGTGTGCTTCCTAAGTCTGTGTGTCATTCAGTGTCTCTCTCCCTCTGTGATTCCTAAGTCTGTGTATCATTCAGGGTCTCTCTCTCTCTGTGATTCCTAAGTCTGTGTGTGATTCAGTGTCTCTCTCTCTCTCTGTGATTCCTAAGTCTGTGTGTGATTCAGGGTCTCTCTCTCTCTCTGTGCTTGCTAAGTCTGTGTGTGATTCAGTGTCTCTCTCTCTCTCTGTGATTCCTAAGTCTGTGTGATTCAGTGTCTCTCTCTCTCTCTCCCTGTGATTCCTAAGTCTGTGTGTGATTTAGTGTCTCTCTCTCTCTCTCTGTGATTCCTAAGCCTGTGTGTGATTCAGTGTCTCTCTCTCTGTGCTTCCTAAGTCTGTGTGTGATTCAGTGTCTCTCTCTCTCTCTCTGTGATTCCTAAGTCTGTGTGATTCAGTGTCTCTCTCTCTCTCCCTGTGATTCCTAAGTCTGTGTGTGATTCAGTGTCTCTCTCTCTGTGATTCCTAAGTCTGTGTGTGATTCAGTGTCTCTCTCTCTGTGCTTCCTAAGTCTGTGTGTGATTCAGTGTCTCTCTCTCTGTGCTTCCTAAGTCTGTGTGTGATTCAGGATCTCTCTCTCTCTCTCTGTGATTCCTAAGTATGTGTGTGATTCAGTGTCTCTCTCTCTGTGATTCCTAAGTCTGTGTGTGATTCATTGTCTCTCTGTGTGCTTCCTAAGTCTGTGTGTGATTCAGTGTCTCTCTCTCTGTGCTTCCTAAGTCTGTGTGTGATTCAGGATATCTCTCTCTCTCTCTCTGTGATTCCTAAGTATGTGTGTGATTCAGTGTCTCTCTCTCTCTCTCTGTGCTTCCTAAGTCTGTGTGTGATTCAGTGTCTCTCTCTCTCTCTATCTGTGCTTCCTAAGTCTGTGTGTGATTCAGGATCTCTCTCTGTGATTCCTAAGTCTGTGTGTGATTCAGTGTCTCTCTCTCTCTCTCCCTGTGATTCCTAAGTCTGTGTGTGATTCAGTATCTCGCTCTCTGTGATTCCTAAGTCTGTGTGTCATTCAGTGTCTCTCTCTCTCTCTGATTCCTAAGTTTGTGTGTCATTCAGGGTCTCTCTCTCTCTGTGATTCCTAAGTCTGTGTGTGATTCAGTGTCTCTCTCTCTCTCTGTGATTCCTAAGTCTGTGTGTGATTCAGGGTCTCTCTCTCTCTGTGCTTCCTAAGTCTGTGTGTGATTCAGTGTCTCTCTCTCTCTGTGATTCCTAAGTCTGTGTGATTCAGTGTCTCTCTCTCTCTGTGATTCCTAAGTCTGTGTGTGATTCAGTGTCTCTCTCTCTCTGTGATTCCTAAGTCTGTGTGTGATTCAGTGTCTCTCTCTCTCT